TAAGGAGAAATTTCCTGACAGTTAGAAACAATTAATCAGTGAAACAACTTGCCTCCGAAGGTGTTAAAGCTCCCACATTGGAAGTTTTTAAGATGTTGGATAACCATTTGTCTGAAGTGGTGTAGGGTTTCCTGCCTAAGCAGGGTTGGACTAGAAGACCTCCAAGGTCCCTTCTAACTCTGTTATTCTATTCCATTCTGTGTAATCATTGTAGAATCTGAAATATTACCTAACTTTTCCTGCTCTTTTTCGTAGTGGAGAATAATCCTCGGACAGGAAACCTTGCCTCACTGATTAAAGTCTTCCTTTCCAGAACCAAAGAATTAAAAATTTCAGCAGAATGTCAGAAGTAAGTGTTTGACGATACTTGCTAATTTTTTGTCACTTCAAAACACAAACACCAAACCCAACCCTGGTTGAAATCCACATGGTTGCTACTGAGGGTGCTGGCTGATTGCTTCAGGGACACAGCTAATAGTATTTTATGAAGTCTGATTTCAGAGTCCTTATATAATGGTCTCGGCTCTAGTAAACATTTCCATCAAAATGGCTTTGAGGTAATGATCATGTTTCCTCCTGTTTTGTGACAGGCAACACACAAAAACTGTAGCATATCCATTGACTTAGTGGTAACATTTTCTAAAACCAAGAAAGGCAAAATAGGTATCCCCCCCAATTCCCTTTTTTTAAATAAATTGGGTGTTATCCATAAGGATCAAAGCTGCTGAGGTGGAAATCTTTATTTGTCACAGCAGGAAAAGCCTGATTGTAAACTTGGCAGGGGTGGTAGCAGTCTTCCAAAGGGCAACTTTGTTGATGGGCTGGAAAGAGTTAAGGGGAGAGCCCAAGACTTAGAACCTAGGGAATCGACACACGCAGAAGGCAAGATTTGAGGATCTTGTTCAGATCAGTGTTAGACATATCTCATTTTTTGCCCATGTGCCTTCCTAATTTTATGGAATAAATCTGCTCCACTGACCTACTGAGATCTGCTTGAGAACGTGAAAAGAACTGCCCGACTTTGGGCCAGTTGCTCTCTCTCAGCCCAAGCCACCTCACAAGGTTGTTGTTGTTTTGGGAAAAATAGGGCAAAAGAATATTTGATACTTTCATCACCTTGAGTTATTTATAAAAATATTAAGTTGTGATATAAACAAACAAATGAACAAAAATAGATAGATAGATAGATAGATAGATAATAGATAGATAGATAGATAGATAGATAGATAGATAGATAGATAGATAGATAGATAGATAGATAGATNTCCCCGGTAATGGCCCGCCCTGAAACTCCTGTCGTACCTGCCTCTCCCAACTATGACCGGGATGCTCCGGCCCGTCCCCGCAGCTGTAGACCCCCCTCCCCTCCCACGGCCCCGGTTCTCCCCAGCAGGCCATTCGTATCATACACTCTGGGATGAGAGGCGGAACCGGGGCCCCATCCACTTCTGCTTCTGCACTCAGTGGTGGGGGCTCCGGGCTGCACTCTCGATCCCCTCATGCATACCGACCAGACATTCTCCGCACACATACCCCACTAATAATAAAATATTAAAATATACAATGATACAGAATAAAAATAGAAAATTTAAAAATTTAAGTTTAAAAACATGTGGGAACATTCTCTCAACCATCCATACCTATAAACACTCCTTCACTCAGCAACAAGATGGGCGCCATTCTGGAACCGGCAAGTGGTTGAGCGCAGTTTTTAAATAGATAAAGTTCGTAGTAATATAAGAGAAGAATGTCTTTACGCTCAGAAGGTTTTCCTCTGCGGGATCAAGCAGGAAATACAAGGCTCTAAAGTTTAAAGCAGATGGGGGGTTGATGCCGGACAGAGGGGAGGGGGACAAACTTCCTACCCACGTCCTCTTCGTCCTCCGCTTTCCCTTCCTGTGAAGATAGTAAATACAGGATGACATGCAGAACTCTCGGCGGAAACAGAGGACTAAGGACTCCATGGCCAGATCGCAGCAGCCGAAAATGGTGAGGGGGAAACCCCCGTGTCCGTGTTGTTAAATTCAGGGTTTATGGCGATGGAAAGGCGACAAGCGGATTAATCTCACGCGTCCAGTTCTTTCCAAAATGGTGGTCTTAGAGGCGAGGTGAAAGTGGGAATGATCAAGATGGAAGACAGCCAGGGGGCAGCGTCGTCTAGAGAGGCACGCCTGGGGTTAATCACGGATGGCAGCAGCAATAATTGCGAGAGTCGGGAGGGCCAGCCACAGAAGCCGGAATCCCAGCAGTCAATCCGCAGCAATGGTGATCAGAGTCCGAGTCAGAAAAGCCGTGATGGAAAGGGTGGGGGGGTGCGCTTAGGTTAGCGCTTGACTCACCAACCCCCCCAAGGCGGCGGCAGGGCTCAATGGCGTCTTGACAAGAAGAAAAGCAGGCCGTAGCAATCCGAGTTCAATTTAAGTTCAAGCTGAGAGTGCCGTCAGTTGGGAATTTGCCGTCCGTGGGAAAAAGAGGGGGGGCGCCGCTCAAAGGCCACACGCCACCATCCAACACCGCCAGAAACAGTCTAAGTCCCCAGCACAATGCCCCTCTAGGCAAACGCCAACCCCTGAGACAGAAAGCCACTCCACGTTGAAAAACCGCCGTTCGTGAGGAGGAGGGGGGGCACTGCCTGAGGGCCGTCCAACGATGCTGCAGATCGCCCAAAGCCCAAAGCCGCCTGGGGAGCATCTCTCCAGATGACAAACAAACCTCCGAAAGCGTCTTAGATTTTACTTGAAAAAAACGCCGTTCGAGAGGAGGAGGGGGGGGGCACAGCCTGAAGAGCTGTCTGACGACGCCGAGAATCGCCCAAAGCCCAAAGCCGCCTGGGGAGCGTCTCTCCGGATGACAAGCAAACCTCCGAGGACAACCAAAACCCCTCATAATTATTTCCTATTAGTTGTTTTGTTGTTAAATCAAATCATTAAATTTTTCAACACCACTACTCTGTGGGGAATAGACAGCATGAAGTT